AAAATTAATTTATCTTACGTTTATATTTATGATCAAAATTAAAATTAAATACGTACCTCATTTAACTCTTTAGAACTTATGTTTTTAGAATTGTTAAGTTTCTTGAGAGCAAAAATCCCACGGTTAATCCAATTTGCTTTATAAATTTTACTAAATCCTCCTTCGGCAATAAATTCCAAGTCTTTGAATCTATCATATGGAATAAATTCCATTTTTCCTTCATTTTTAGTACGATTAGTTTGTGTAAATCTTACAAAATCATCAATGACTTTATTGCTGCTTGATATAATAATTGCTCTTGCTTCATAGCAAACACGACAAATCTGATGAATTTCATCAGAGGGCTTTCTTATTCGTTTGCACTCATTGCATTTCTTATACTTTAGTTTAGGCGTAGGCTGAGTTTGTTGACTTAGAGATGTTACATTTATTAAATAGTCAATTTTTAGTTTATAGCCATTAGGTTGTTCCATGTTAATTTTTAGAAAGTAAATTTTGGATGGTCGAGAAAATTTATCGTTACAGTATATACTTTATATATTTAAAATTTTCGGATTATAAAATCCGTCAATTCGCCATTGTGTAACCAAAGGTCAAATAATCCCGTTCAAGGTCTGTTATAACCCTTGATACACAACTTAAACTTCTACTCATAAAAACCTCATTTCAAAAAAAAAAAAAAAAAAAATGAGAAATCTATAAAGTATGTAATGGTTGAACATTTTACGACATAATTGCATAAATAAACGGGGCCTTGTCAATCCTGATACTAAAATATTTTTCATTATGTAAAATAAGGATGAGTTATTGACATCATCATTATTTTTATAAAAAAAAAAAAAAAGATTCGTAAATTGAAGCTCATCGTTTTTTTTACGAAGATGTCGCTTAAAGATTTCAATATTCACGTTTATTAGTGCAAATTTAATTAAAATGTCCACTAAAAATAGACAATCTGAAAAAAATACTATGAGTATACTGTATATTAGAATTAAAGATAATGATTGTATACAAAATGAGAGAGTATTAATTCTTTTGAAATTTGTGATAATTGAATAACTTTACATTTATTGCTGTATGTTGCACATTTCGTGTAACAAACGTTATTTATTAAAAAAAATTTTTGAATATGCATTTGCGCAAGCATAAGCATGATCAAAAGGTGATTCACTTCCGCTAATAATTTCAAATTTGGTAACGTATGAATGTTATTTTTTTACATTCCATTATTTTTACAAATAATAAGATTTATAGAAATAATTTATTCGTTTGCTGATCGAATTTTTCGATACGAAATTCGTATATTTTCGATATTTCCAATTTCAATACGAAATAAAATTACAAGTTCAGACGAGGCATTTTTTAAATACCTTATCTGACCTTTTCGTTTTCATAAAATCTCAATTTTTTCAAACTTCATGACGTCGAACTACAATGAATAATTTCAACTAAGAAAAAATGATGTATTTTAATTATGATATAATATTATCACGTAAAATACCGGTTATAATCAGCAATTTGATATCGAAATGATAGGCGGAAACGCCGAGGATAATAATATATATATATATATATATATACTTTTTATTCTTACATGTTATTTTTTTTTGTACGACATTATAAGTATTTCGAAATCTACATTACATGAGATTCCATAGAATTCCAAACATGATGATCATTTTTTCCATTAACTAACGATAACTTGTTTATGCACCTTAGCCAAAGTTCCAGAACGTTATAATGGAATTCCAATTTACAAGCAATCGCCGAATCTTTTTTTTTTTTTAAAAAGGAGAAATTTTTTAGGGAGAAAAAAAAAAAATAATAAATATATATATCATGTATTTCTCATTTCAAGCGTATGGAGAAAAATTTGAAATATTACCTCAGCATTGATGTTATTAAACGAATCAAAAATTTTAATCGATTGAGATTAACCAAAGAACAAAGATCTTTAATTGATGACTTGATATTAAATGAGAATTTGAAAACACGTTACAAGATGTTCGATTTATGTAAATTTTGTGGTCAACCTAATACGGGTTATGATTGGTGTCAATTTTGTAATTCCAAACATTTTCAACAAAATTTCAATAACTGGACGAGTGGTAACCAAGACGTTGATGGTTTCATTCAAAAAACACAACTCAAAGCAAAAGTTAAAAATGAAGTGATAGAATGGATTGATTATAATAAATTTGAACATGTTGCATACTTGGCCAAAGGAGGATTTGGAATCACTTATAAGGCTAATTGGAAAAATGGTTATATAATTTATTGGGATTCCAAAAAAAATCGATGGGAAAGGAGTGATACCATTCCGGTCGCTTTAAAAAGTTTACATCATTCACAAGATATTACAGCGGAATTCTTAAAAAATGTAATGGTTTTTTTAATTGCAAATCTTTTTTTTTTTGTGACGTCGACGACGATCGTCCACACCAACTAACCATCATTAATACCTTTTTCAGATTGAATCACACATTTTAATGAATAATGCATTTTTCATAATTTACTGTTATGGTATCACCAAAGATCCAAAAACAAATAACTTAATGTTAGTAATGGAATATGCAGAGAATGGTAATTTGAGAACAAATTTGGATAGAACTTTTAATTCAATGAATTGGTGGAATAAATTGTATCTTTTAGAAGAAATTGCGTCTGGACTAAAAGATATTCATAATAATGGATTAATTCATCGGAATTTTCATTGTGGAAACATATTAAATAATATAATGATGTCTTCCTGCATCACCGATTTGGGGTTATGTCAACCAGCGAATAAGAGACATCTGCACGATGGCAAATGGCAAATATATGGTGTGCTACCTTACGTTGCTCCCGAAGTTTTAAGAGAAAAAGAATATACCAGGGAAAATGATGTTTATGGATTCGGAATCATAGCACATGAAGTGGTTACGGGATTACCTCCTTTTCATGATGTGGCTCATGATGAATCTTTGGCGATAAAGATTTGCCAAGGATTGAGACCAAGATCTAATTATAAGATTCCATTTCCAATTCTAGATATCATTCAACAATGCTGGGATGCAGATCCTTTGAAACGTCCTACAGCAGACGAATTACATAAGAAATTATACGAATTAAGATGCGAAACTATTAATACCGGTTCTATCATTTTTAATCAAATTAATGAAGTGGAAATCATTAATAAGATACTATTTTCTTCAGCGCCTACTGATATTCTTTCATATAACGTACATCCCCGGGCAATATATACGAGTAGTTTATTGGATTTTGAAAATCTTCCTGAACCAAAAAATGCGGACGGTCCATTTGAGAAAGAATATCCAGCTAAATAAAATGTCCATTTTTTATACTTATTTAAAAGTTGATTATTGATTTCAAATCTGTGTTTCTTTATTGACTATTTTTTCTAAATAGATACAATGAAAAGCAAGACATCGAAAGAAGAATCATCTTATTAAATTCTACATCATTTATAGTATTTAAGAATTAACGATTATATTTTGTATTATTTACTTAACTGTATTATTCGAAATTTAGATAATAAGGTATTAGATATTTATTTTGGAATTATAAGGTACAAAGTTAAAAGATTCGATTTTTCTTTTAAAAAAACATTTTTATCATATGAATTATTTTCGTAAAATAAAATTCTATTTAACTTTGAATGTAAAGTTTCATATTAATTGAATGAGATTCTTAAACATAATTTACAAAAAGTTCTTTTTACAAAGGAATTCTTTAAGTGAGACTCAGTTTGTGATGAATTATGATATATACTAGGGATGGTAATGGTCGGTCATGGTCGGTCAACGGTCGGTCAATGGCCTTTGACCGACCGACCGGTTATATTGACCGGTTGACCAGCCCATATAACAATAATATAATTTAAAGTTCTTGATCGTTAATTTTAATTTAAGCTTTAAATAATGCTAACATGGTAT